TTTGAACACTTTCCTGAGGGTCATAAATCACCAGGCCCTGAAACAGGAAGCACAATTATCTGCATACTGCTGCCTCCAATCTGCTGGCAATGAAAATATGTCAAGGCTATTAAAATGATAAACACTTTATCATTTCCCTTTCTTCCCCCCCCTCCCCTCACCCAGGGAGCATTAAAAATAAATGACAAAAATGCAAAGCAGCCTTTAGGCTTTTCAGCCAAGCTCAGAGTGTTGGGGAGCAAAGAGGAATGGAAGACCCTTGAGATATTGGTTATATCTTAAATGAAGTCTTTGAGATGAGTTGAAATGACAACTAAATGAATTCTCCGTGCAAAAAGGTAGAAGGTTTGGTTGTTTTTCTCCATCAAAGACACTGTCAGAGTTGTAGGCACTGCCTGGGTATGGCACAGACTCTCCTGCTCAGCAAGGAGCAGAGAGCATTTCCCTCCAGTCCCTCAGAGAATCATCACCTGAGCTGGAAGAGACACACAAGGATCAGAGTCTTTAAGATCAGAGTTTTTAAAATGAGACTAGATGTGGCACTTAGTGCCATGGCCTAGTGACCACAGTAGGGTTGGACTTGATGACATTAGAGGTCTATTCCAACCCAGTTGATTCTATGATTCCTCTTGTGCAACTGTAGAGGGCCAAGAGCAAACACCTGATTGTTCCTTTTTCCCATTGAGCATCTAAGTTTTTTCCTCTCTCAGCTACTTTTTTCCCCCTCCCATTCCATATCTTCTATAGTTCAACAGCTTTCAGCCTTCAAATCTGTCTGGAAATCAGACTTGTGCCCATAATCCCAAGTGGATTTCCAAGCAATGTTCCTCAGAAGCTTTTGATAGAGGCAGAGAAAAGAACCTGCAAAGACACACAGGAGATAAGTTCAGAACACAACTTCTGTGAACTCTGATGAATTCCTCAGGGAAGGCAAGTTGAACCCAAAGTCATTATGTTTGCACAAAGCTTTAGCACTTAATCAAGCAAACCTCATGCATTTCACACAGCAAAATGTGTCAGAGAGTGTGTGCAATGTAATTTCTGGTTCATTCTTCATGCCTGGGGCACCAGCACTGTGGAGGAGCTGGAGCTGGGTATGGACTGGAGGGAAACACAAGGGTTTAGGCTGATGAGTTCAAGGAGTGATTGTCAGAGTCTTCCATCCATGAGACACTCACCTTGAGCTGGTGTCATGTCCTAATGATTCCCTGGTGTGGCACAGTCACTTCCAGCTGTCCCCAGTTCATTCCCTGCCAACTTTACCTGCTGAATCCACCTGAGTGACTAATGACAAGGACACTCAGTTCCTCCTCCTCCTCCTCCTCCTCCCAAAGGCTCTTCTGTCTTGCTGGTCAGAGCCCATTTAACTGACAAATCCACTTGCAAGTTGTCTTATCCCAGTGGGATAATTTTCCAGGCCAATTTCTCTTTGGATGTGCCACTGTCACCTTGGCTTTGACAAGGAGGTTTATTAGCCTTTGCACAGTGTGTGCACAGGAGGCATTAAAGGCTTTTGGCTTATCCTTCCTCATCAGCACAATTCCAGCAGGATTCTTCCCATACATCAGCCTTTTTCAGGGAGTTTGGGGAGGGAAAAGAGCATTGCTGAATTTAACTGTTAGTGTTTCAGACCACAAGGCTCAGCATCCCAAACTTCTTTGGTTCTGCTGTGGTTATTATGGATTGTTTGACAACTGGAGTTAGGAAAGCACATTCAAACTGTCAGAGAGGAGCATTGGATTGGGAGATTGGGAAGGAATTGTTCCCTGTGAGGTGCTGAGGCACTGGCACAGGTTGCCCAGAGAAGCTGTGGCTGCTCCATCCCTGGGAGTGTTCCAGGATAGACTGGATGGAGCTTGGAGCAACCTGGGCTGGTGGGAGGTGTCATGGGTTGGAACAAGATGAGCTTTAAGGTCCTTCCAATCCAAACTATTCCATGATTCTAGGACACTTTTGTAACAAAGTTCCTTAAGAATCCTAAATTCCCAGGAAGGAAAGGAGAAGATAAATCAAACCTGATTTTAAAACCAATCTGAGATCAGATAGAAGATACCCAAACCTCCAACCCCCAGACCATAACCTTGACTTCAATCCCTAAGAAACTATCCTGATTCTCTCAATCCCTGGAACATTTGGCACTGCTAATAACCTCTTAAGTGTTTTCCTGCTCCTCCTCTTCTCTGCTTTGAATGAGACTTCAGTAAACATACATCAGTGTGAAAACTGTCACTTACTACAGGTACATTCTCAGCCAAGGAGTTACTCTGATGCTACTATAGGTAAAGCCATCAGGAGAAGGTTTTTTTCCCCATATATTTGGGATTTTAAGGTGTGAAAATACATTCTGCAACACAGCCTGACTATCCCATTGTGAACTGGGCAGGAACAGCCACCAAAGTGGTGTTTTATTGACCTTACCTTCAGTTGTGGTGGAAGTAACACAGCAGATAAGCTGAAAACCATGAGCTACTTTGGGTGCTAATTTCACTCCCTTCATTCCATGCTGGAAAAGGAAACACAGGACTGACCTCCACAGTCATTTAGAAAAAAAAAAAAAGCTCAAATCTGTTTATTTTGGCACAGTTTAAAAAGATACAAATACATTAAATATCAGGGTTCAGGAAAGCAAATTTGTAAAACACAGTTAGGTTTGGGTTGTTACTTTCAAGGGGGATGGAAACAAAACCACCACATTAAATATCAACAGTGCAAATGAGTGAGAAACTGTTTAGATCAGGAGTTCACTGGGTCAGACATCAATAACAACAGCTCAAGAGTTCCTGACACACAAAGAGTACAAATATCTGTTGTATCTCAAAAGTTTGGTGGGAGGGAAGAGAATAATCATAGAGAAAAACTGCACAGGATTAGAGTTTAGACACTTGACATCAAACCAAGTTACAATATGCACTGAGGAGAAGAGTTTAGACAAGACAGTGAGCTGATCCTTCAAATATTTAGGTGGAAAAAGGAACATATTAGCAACTAAGCAACACAAGAAAGCACTGGAGGGACAAGTTCCCAAGCAGCAATTTTCTGCTGCCAAAGGTGCAGCTTCTTGGCATTATTTGCATAGTTACTCCTTTGCCTTAGCAGTTAGGAATATTCATAGTCAAAATATTCAGCAACTAAGTGCAGGGGAAAAAAAAAAATCACCTCTAGGCATGACTTTTACCTGTGGAAAATCTCAGCAGCACAAAGGCAAACAAAGCAAAGTGTCATGTCCTGCCCCTCCTGAACTTGGCCCATCCTCCAGAGCACATTGCAGATGGAAAGCTCAAAGAGCCCCAAAAGGCATTGCCTGGCCAGGAGAACAATCATTTTATTTACCATCAAGAGAAAAAGACAATTTTAAGCTTCAGTTTGGGGTTTGTTTTTTTTTTTTGGCACAACCTCTTCATCATTTGGTTTTGATCCTTAGTTTTGCCCTAGAGATTCTACCAGAGATCTCATTACCTTGTGAGGAGAGAGAGAGGGAAAAGGAGCTACAACTGCAAGGAAACTTCCAGAAAAATGGGTCTGTTCCAGAAGCTAAATTTATCTTCTCCCATCCCAGTTCTTCTCCTCGAATAAGCTTTGAACCCCAGAGAGAAGTGAATGTGGATCACAAGCTTTGGGCTCTCCATCTGGGTGTCATGTCAGCTCAAGACAGTTTTGTTCACATTTGCCTGAAAAAAGAGAACCAACTGTTCCAAGTTTCCTTTCCTGCCAGTGGCTGCTGAGGAAAAGCTTCCAAAGAACTTATTTTAGGAGCACAGAGCCAGAGTGGAGTGGCAGCAACACAGGTAGGTGGGAGTGCACAGGCTGCATAGTTAGGATTTCACACATGGTGACAGAGACACTTCAAAACCAATTTAGCAACCTCAGTTTTCCACTCTTTTCCCAGTCCTGCCCGTCCCACTGGGCCCAGTTTGCCCAGTGTGTGTTCACATGGCAACAGAGTCACTCCTGCCAGGAGGAAAACTAACCTAGCTAGAAACATCCATGGTTTTACAGCTACTTTCATCTCCTGCAGGAATGACTCCTCAGCCACACAGCTGGAAGGAGGGGCAGGAAGAAGCATCCAGTGGCAGCTGTTTAAGGTGGCACTTGGAGCAAGGAAATAGCTGTTGAGCTCTGTCCTGAGGTGTTGACCTGCAGATTTCAGGTGTGGTAGTGAAGGGCTCGAGCAAAGAAACCCCTTATTGCATTGGCAGAAGTTCACCTGATCTCTCCAGGTCATCCCAACCCTCACTGCCATGGCTACAACAATCCTGCAGGAATTTTGGTCTCCCTTCAGGGAAGGAAGAGACAGGAACAGTGTTTGCAGGACAGATACAGCAGTTACAAAGCTACAACAAACAGCTCTTCATACAAGGATTGACCTGAAGCCAACTGAAAAGCTTCTCAACAAATTCCTACACTTGGGATTGGACCCATATTAACCACAGCTTCAAAAGCACCAAGAACAACAGTATTTGGAGAGTGGATCTAGATTCACAGTTAAAAACCAGGATCAGCTGTGTCATAAGCTGCAGGAACACCATTTTTTGCTTCCAAAGGATTCTACGTGTTCTATTGCCCATGGTAAGGATTGGTATGTTGTCCTACAGGTTAAAGCAGTGGCACTTGGTGTTCCCATGTCCACGTGGGTCCCTCCATCCTTGAGTATTCCCAGTGTTTTGTGTTGGGCCTGCAGCACTGAGACACTCAGCTCTGGGGACACAGGACACATCACAGAGTACCAAAGGCAAAATCCTTCAGGGTTTTAAACACAGCATCTTCAGGAGAGAAATGAACCCCCAGAGCTGCAAGAGTGCAGGTCACTGAACTGGGTGACACCTGCCATCAGCATCTTTGCAGCAGTTCATCTCTGTGGTGACATTTGGCACAAACCCTTTGACACAGTCATTTGGTTTCCCTTTAGCTCAAGCTGCTCCTGACGTTTTCCTGGCACTTCAGTGGGTTCAGAAAAAAAAAAGGTTCTTTGACACTTCAAAGTCCTTGGTCAAGAGTGGAGGCTAAACATTGCTGACCCTGGTTTCAGAGGAGGAGATGATAGCAGCAGAGGTGGATGTCACCAGGGACCGTTCTCGGCGCACGTATCGAGGCTTCCGCACTCCAACCCCCTCCCTGGACAGATACACCTCCCACCAGAGCAGGTTGCTCAAGGTTTGATCCAGCCTGGAGTTAATGAAACAGTCATGGAATCACGGAGTGGTTTGGGTTGGAATGGAGTTTAGAGATCATCCACCTCCAACCCCCTCCCTGGACAGATACACCTCCCACCAGAGCAGGTTGCTCAAGGTTTGATCCAGCCTGGAGTTAATGAAACAGTCATGGAATCACGGAGTGGTTTGGGTTGGAATGGAGTTTAGAGATCATCCACCTCCAACCCCCTCCCTGGACAGATACACCTCCCACCAGAGCAGGTTGCTCAAGGCTTGATCCAACCTAGAATGAACATTGCCAGGGTCGGAGCAACCACAGCCTCCCTGGGCAACCTGTGCCAGGTTCTCACCTTCTCAGTACCTTCAGGGTATGGAGATGTCCATTTTTAGCCCCCAAAACCCTCTCACAACTGCCCTTACTTTATAAGCAGCTGATAAATTAGAGAAAGGACAGCAAGACTTCCCCCAGTCACTTCACAGCCACCCCAAGCCTGGATCACATCTCAAAATGTTTCAAACTTACAGAGTGGGTTGGTAAAAACTCAACGCGAACGATACCATCGTGATGATTAAGATATCTTCCCTGAGCAATTAATTGCTGCCTGGATTAAGCTCACACCTTGCCCAAAAGAGCCCAAACACAACCCCCCACACACCACACCCACACGAATTGGTGTGTTCCAAACAGTCTGTGTTGTTTAATTCAAGGAGTTGATAAGCTTCCAGCCAACCAGGCTGAAAATGAGCCTAGCTGGCATTGTCAAGAGGAATTGAATCCTGTAAACAGGCCCCAGACTGAATAATTTACTTTTAAGCACTCATGAAAAAATCCTGCATCTACTTGTGAGGCTTCTGTGAGGGCAGAGAAGTCGAAGATCTATTTTGGGAGCTGTCAGAGATCTATTTCCACATAAAGAACTCCATCAATACTCTGTGCCCACATTAATTAAAGCCATAAATCCTATCAAAAAAAGACCTTACTGGACAGATTTCATTGGATTTCTGTCCCTTCAACAGATTCTACAGTTCTATATGAAGCTTGAGAGATAATTATTTTGACTTGCTGTGTGTTCTTAGCATTCCCACTTGGAGATTTCCACTCCTGTTTTTAACAAGGATAAAAGGGAAACCACGAGGTGAAATATTTGTAGGAGCATTTCCCAGGAAACAGTTGCTCACCTGAAGAAGCTGGAGGAGGTATCATGGATGCCTGGAGAACAGAATGAGCATGTCAAACAAACACCTCTGCACAGTTCTCATTCAAAAAGACACAACATTTAGGCTTCAGATCTATCCACATGTGTCCATGGTTTTGCTTGGAAAAAGAACTCAATTGAATCCATGTGATCAGGATGAATTTTTCACCTTTTTTTTCTAGTTTGGACAAGCCCAAACTATCTTTTATATCTATTTCAGCCTCATATAGCAGATAAAGGAGTTCCTTAATGAACTGTTAAAGTGCCAAGTTTTAATTTTCTTACTAGATGTCAATTATGACTTTGATTACTACATTTTAGTTGTTGTTTACCTCCTGTTTTCTTTGCTTGTTCCTATTGGAAGGGCAGAATTTACTTACTGTTTCACTAGGCTGGAGAACAGATGCTGAAAGAGAAAGAGAGAGAGAGAGATGAACCATCATTAATTGCCTCTGTTCCTAAAAATACATTAATTCACTGATTAGTTCTATTGTTAAACAAAGAGTTTTGTCACAAAACCCACCAAAACAGAGCAGGAATTCAGAAATCCTCTCAGCAGAAGAGATTGTGTGGAGGAATCTCTTCAAGATCAGAGATAAAGGGTTGTAAAGGTTTTCATGAAGTGCTTTTTTTGGTTATTTTTCCTTCTTTTTTTCCACAGGAAGAAGATTTAAAGGGGGGAAATGTCACTTGGAGCCAGAAAAAGGCTCAAGTGAGCAGTGAAAGATGCACCTGTGTTAGACAGGAGCTGCTACCTTTGTTGGCCATGTGATAAGCATCATCCAGACACAAGGAAAGCTGAGAATAAATCAGGAAAATGTTCCTAAGGTTTCCTGCCTCAAAGGAGGACATCAAAGCTTTATCCTGCTGGATCAGAGTGAATTATCAGCACCAAAACGAGGAGATCAGCCCAGCATCACTGAGCTCTCAGAGCTCTGATGTCCTGCCAGCTTGGAAATGTCACCCAACAGCTCTTGACCCACTTAAAGCTGAAGGAGAATCTTGTCTTAAACTAAACTGACTTGGAAAAACAACCCAGAGGCTTCAGTTGTGATGAGGACACTCTCAGTTCCTGTGGCACTGAGCAGTTCAGCCCTCAGAGTCACTGCTGTGTGCCTTGACCTGAAGTGATACCACACACAGACTGGGAATGTGATTCTCCATGGAGTGACTGTGACTGGATACAACATTCTCAGCCAAAGAATGGAATTGTAGTGCTCCACCCACTCCTTTTTTCTTTCCTAAAGCTTCTTTCTACTGTGCCAGTCTTGGTCCTGTAGGACATGACTGAGATCACAGCAAAGCTGGTTGTTTAGCAGAGCTAACCCAGTCAATGTCTTCCTTTCAACAGAAGGAGCTCTAACACAGCAAATGCTGAGCTGGAGGTTGTCATGGGAATTGTTCAAAGCCCCTACACAGGAGAGGAGATACAGAGGCACAGATCAGCTCCAGTTCCGTGCAAAACCCTGGGAAAAATGGACATATCACCTCCCACATTCTGCTCACTAAACCCCAGGAATTAAGACCAGGAAAAGGTGCAGTATAAAACAACACCACAAAACCTGAAGCATCTGAAGGAGCTAAATGTCTACATAAAGTCTTGGTGCCCTGTGGCTAAGCATAATCCAGGGGTTCTTTCCTTGTTTTTTCTGGAATCACTTTGCCATGAAGTCAGGCCAATACATTGAGGCTGCTCCATGTCTGGGAGTGTTCCAGGCCAGGTTGGCTGGATCTTGGAGCAACCTGAGCTAGTGGAAGGTGTCCCTGCCCATGGCAGGGGTGGGACTGGATGATCTTTCTGATCCTTCCAACCCAAACCTTTCCATGAGTCTATATGGCTTCATTTCTCAGGAACAGGAATGGCAGAAATAGAGTAAATTTCATCATGAAAAGAAAAGCTAAGGGATGTTTGCTTAGAAAAAAGACAAAAATCAGGCTGTTAGCTCTTCCAAACCCAAATAAATCCTGAATTTAGAGGGCAAACACAGCTGAATGAGAAACCTGAAATTCCATTGCCTTTGTCCTGCTGCTGACACATCCATGGTAACTGCACCTCCCTCTACTATTGCTGCTCCTCTCTAATCCAAGACTAAACAACAACTGCTTTTTGTAAGGCTTTGAAAACGTCTAATATTCAGTGACAAGTCATGTCAAGTGTTGTGCTCTGGAAAAGCTCCAAAACCAATGGGTTGGTTAGTGAGAGAGACACTGCAATGTGCACCTGACAGACTCAGAGTGAGAACAGATCCTCTGCCCTTCCCTGCCCTGAAAACAGCTCTCTGAACACAAAGCAGCAGGAAATTTGTCCCTGGTTTGCATTGCTTTGGATGATCAGAAAAAAACCCCAGCAAACAGTGAGTTAAAACACTGACATGAAGATATTTAAAGGGTTTGAATTCAAGGATTAAATTGAAGTGAATTCAAGGGGCAAAGGGCAAAACTTTAGACAGTTAGAGGTATTTTACCTTTGTTTCTTCTGTAGAAAATATTCGGGAGTTTATTGGCACGTTTGAGGTAGAAGAAAGAAGCAACAGAGAGAATCAGGAATAAACTGATGAAAAATGTCCCTAAGATGAGAGAAGCTGCAACTTCTGGGCCTCCTGTAGTTAAAAAAAAAAACACATTACAAAGAGAAAGAAAATACTGTTATTCACTAGAAACCTCTTCTAACAGAAAGGTTAAACCAAAGCTAAAGACCAACTTCCTGGTGTTTATTCTCTGCTTGAGAAGTTCATATTCTGAAGGGCAAGAGATGCTTTAAATTGAGGATATAGACATGAAAAAAAAAATTAGGAAGGGAGCAGTAGGTTACGTATTGCCTCACCCCTCTAACCCTAAAATCTTGCAGCATAAGCTTCAAAACCTGTGAGGTTTCAGAAAAAATCGGCTCAACCTGTACTTTTCAAGATCAAAATCACAAACCACTTCAAGATCACAAGGTGAAAGAACCATTGAGGAAAAAAATTTCCCTCAGAATTCACCTCAGAGATTTACAAAAGATTTGTGTGCAGAACAAGCCTGAAAAGGTAAAAAATGGTGACTACACTGAGAATAAAATGTAATCAAGAAATAAAAGCTAATCATTAAATAAAACCTACAGACAAACATACCAATCCCAGGTTGGGGACAAAGTGGCTGGAAAGTGGCTCAGAGTGTTGGGGAGCAAAGAACAATGGAAGACCCTTGAGATATTGGTTATATCTTAAATGAAGTCTTTGAGATGAGTTGAAATGACAACTAAATGAATTCTCCGTGCCAAAAGGTAGAGGGTTTAGTTGTTCTTCTCCATCAAAGACACTGTCACAGTGTTGTAGGCACTGCCTGGGCATGGCCCAGACTCCTGCTCAGCAAGGAGCAGAGAGCATTTCCCTCCAGTCCCTCAGAGAATCATCACCTGAGCTGGAAGAGACACATGAGGATCAGAGTCCAACTCCTTCCCCTGCCCAGGACACCCCAACAATCCAACCCTGTGCCTGAGAGTGCTGTTCAAACACTCCTGGAGCTCTGTCAGCCTTGGGGCTGTGACCACTGCCCTGGGGAGCTACTGAATGTGTCCACTCAATTGTCCATAAAACTCTACATAAGAGAACCTCAAAATTTTTTTACCAATTTAGGATTCTTTCCTACTCTTCCTTGCTCTTTCCCCACACAGCTCAGATCCCATGCTATGGTCTAGTGACCACAGTAGGGTTGGACTTGATGATCTTGGAGGTCTTTTCCAACCTGGTTGATTCCATGATTCTATGTTTTACAACCTGTTTCCAATGCTGTGCCATGAGGGGTTGGTACACAGTGAAGAACCACAAAACCTGTTCTCAAAACATTCTCCCATGTACTCACCTAAGTTCTGTACAAAAGGAGTTACAGTGCTGATGTTCATCTGGAAATTCAGCCCTCTGCTACCAGCTGGAACCAAAAAGAAGGTTTTTAAGGTTAAAATCTGACAAAACCTACAAATTTGTTGAAAATCTGAATAAAAGGCTCTGAACTTCCCAGTACTTGTTTGAGATGGTATAAAAATTCTGATTTTCTCCCATGAAAACGTCTCAATTTCAGACTCTATTTTGAGATCTCAATTTTGAGACTTTTTGGTAAAACAAAATCCCAATAATATCATCACAATTTGCCCATTATCCCCCTAGTGCATTTTCAGGAAACTCAGATCAAGTTTGGGATCTCTTCCATTAAAATTATTTATAAGGAATTGGATGGTTCTCACCCCCAAAATGAATTTAGGTTTCTTAATATATATTTTTTCAAAGGCTCAAGTACAGTCTGAGCTATTTTATGCTCTGGAGAAGTCCTGCAAACACCCACAGCAAATGCCTTTTTCTCCCAGCAGAGTTTTAAGCTGCCACAAATTTCAGCTTTCACTGTGTGTCTCACACAGATCCTCCTCAGTTTATCATTTAAATGTAATCATTCTGTTGTTCAGGGCATCTTGATGTCAAGAATGATTTATTTTAATGCTGCATTTGCCTTTTTATAACAAGATTTTTATTCGCCACGCCCACCCCGCCCCCCCCCCCCCCCCGACTCTGGAATGATTTCACAGCTCTGCACAGTTTCTGCACACAGAATTTCCAGGTTTCTCTAGGTTTTGGTGCATGTGCAAAAGCTCAAAGTGATATTAGGACTTTGGAGAAGTTTTACAAAGGAGGGAGAAAAAAATAATCTGCAATATTTGATGCCTTTTTGATCAGTTTTGCTGGAGCAGAGAGGCAAGAAGAGGTGTCAGGTCCCTAAAACCACAGAATAAAGGCTGGGAATGACTCACTGTTTTTGCACTCAGTCAGGTTGGGAACAGATGAAACAGGCAGAGTTTCATTTTTGCATTTAATGCAGCTGCTGCTACCATCCTCATTCCATCTCCTGTAACAACCTGCAAAGCAATCACAGGTACACAGGGTTGGAAACAACAAAAGCAACACTGGAAATCCATATTTTCTAGGCTTCAGGTATTCCTTAAGTCTTCAGACAGACACAGGCAACAGAAATTCCCTCTGCTCTGCTGGTGGCAAACATCTCCTGCTTCCTCTTCTATTACAAGTGAAAAGGTTTCATTTCAAAGTGTTTATGCCAGGGAAAACAGAACATTTCAAGGGGCAAAAAGCAGAAAGAGTTACAAGCAAACAGCTCCCAGAGGGTAATTCCAACACTGCTCCATTCACTGCTTCACATGGGTTAGATGTGAGGGAAATGGGAAGTGTCTAATGAACTGGAACTACCCTGGGGAATACTGAAAGAAGAATTTTCCTGTTTATTTTCTGAGGTTAGATCAACAAAATTTAATGCTACTTTAATATATAGTATTAAAACCAGAAGTCACAGGGACAAAGATGCTGAGCAGCAGGAAAAGTGTACTTGGAGAAAAAAAAGAGGTGTTTGAATCCCTATATTTAACAGCTAAAAACACAAATCCTGCTGTAATAGAGGTTTTTTCCCACTCCAGTGTTGTCCCATTTGTTTCCCTTTAAGGAGAGCTCCAGCCTGGTTAAACCATGGGGTGACAGATGGTGATGTTTCCTATCAGTCACCCACCAAGCAGGCAGGAAACTGATTAAACTTTCATCCTGGCCTGTGTCTTTGGTGTTCAGCTCTCTCAGTTTCTGTTTCAAGGCACAGAAACTGTGTCTTAGCAAAGAAAAAAACCAAAAAAACCTGAATTTTCGGGCACATCTTCACCAACAACTTCATTTCATACAATCAAGCTGTGGTGGTTTCACTTGGGATGTGAAGATGAGAAGGATATTCCTGCTAGATCATATTCCAAACTGCATTTAAAGGAGGGGGAAAAAAAGCTTCGTATGCTGGCTAAAATCCAGTTCTAGAAAGTCTTGAGCCAAACTGGGATCAATTATCCCCCAAAGCAAACCATTAGGAAGGTGTGGATTTAAAACCAGCTTTGCTGCTACATTTTCCTTGGAGAGAATCAGCAGTTTAGTGCTCACAGGAATAAATCCCATCTGACATTTAATCTAAACCCAGTGGAAAGGGAAAGACTTTCTGGAGGGATAGGAAGGAAGAACCAAAATACTTCTGTGACATCAAAGGTATTGGTAGATTATCAGATTGCAAAAAGATTTAAGAGAAATTAATCCCCTAACTTGGAGACAACTGTTTGTCTGAGATCATTTAGAAGACAACTGTTGATACTGTAAGATCATTTAGAAGCAGAAATGAATGAAGCAAATGAAGAAATTAATGAAGCAATGAGGAGAGATTGGCTTCAAATCCTCTCCCAACCACCACAGAAGTGACCCCTGATTTTTCAATCACTAATTCCTGTGGGTTATATGAAGCATTTTGCAGCTTTTATTCCCTGGTTTTAAATAAACTGGCATTAAAAAAAGACCACCCTTCACTGCTGGAGAATGACAAAAGGAGTTTTTAACTCCATTTAGAAGGAAACAGCTCTAGGTACATGGCACGAGGCAGAACGAGGCATTTTGTGCCAACAAGACCACTGAAATTATTCTTAATGCTCCCTTAGACACACATTAGAGCATTTTTAGGCTCATTATCTGGGCTTTTAGGGCTTTTAAACCTTTACAATAGCTCTTACATAATCCAAGTGCACACTAATAAAAAAGAGAACTCACCTTATCAATAGGGTTTTATTCCCTTTACCATGACAGAACAACATTTGTGAGTCATTAGCTGCATTGCTTTGTGTGGAGAGAGGAGGAAAGACTTGGCTAGGGAAGTGCATTAATTCTGCTGTTTTCACTTCCAAATTAATCAGGTGTGTGAATGGCAAAAACAATCAGGGAATTGTTTAGCCCTGGGAGTGTTCCAGGCTAGGTTGGATGGGGCTTGGAGCAACCTGGGCTAGTGGAAGTTGTCCCTGCCCAGGGTAGAGGTGGAATGAGATGAGATTGAAGTCACTTCCAACCCAAAGCATTCCATGATTGCATTAAACAATGACACACTGTACCTGGACTGCACTGGTTGGTTACTGGACAGGAACTGTTGGAATCCAACATATCCACACAACATTCTGTTTCTGAAACCTAAGGGAAGGAATCACATCACATCTCACGCATTGCAGTTCACTAAAATCTTGCATCTAAATAAAAACCTCCAGAGAACACAGAAGTCACTTAAAACCTGCTGTAAATTTGTGCATGAAGCAGCCTGACAAGGAGAGAACTCTCTGGATGCAGCACCAAGCTGATTCTGACCTAGCAGCTGCTCCCAACTAACACTCTGAGGACAAAGCACCCTGTACTTGTGACATTGGGCCAAGCCTCAGAAAGCTGCTCTAGAAATCCATTTGCTAAATTCAGCACTGAAGAACAGTTCAGAGGTTAAGTTCTCCTGCCCACAGCACCACACAAACTCCCCCACAGCTCTGCTCAGAGAAACTATTAGCAAAACGAGTGGCAAACCCCAATTTTTGGTGAATATTCCAAGTAGTGACAGCATCTACGTTTAGCAGAGCAATCCCAACACAGCTGCAAAAACTTCTTCCTTCCACAGCTAATATAAAAGCAAAACTTCTCATATTATGGCATAAAGTTGTGGTTTTTTTGTTGGTTTACAAGCCAATTTCCAAGTTATTTACAAATAACAACAAGCTGTGACATAAGCTTAGAGAGAAATAGAATCACAGAATCGTGGAATCAACTGGGTTGGTAAAGACCTCCAAGATCATCAAAATCGTTAACAAAGATTGTTAGGACAACAATAAGTTGTTAAGAGATCTGTGGTTCTTTTGAGAGATATCAGGAACATCTCAAACAGACTTAGAAATCTGTACAAGAAAAATAAGACACCAAATTTCCACATCTTTCAAAGCCTTGCAGGTGTGTGT